GATCAGCGTAAAATTCTAAGTCGATTTAGCGATGTCCGTCTGTCTGTCTGTCTGTCCGTCTGTCTGCGTGATTACAACGCTATCTTTCGAATGAATTGAGATAGGTGGCTAAAATTTTGCACACATGTTTATTTTTCCAGTAGGCAGGTTAAGTTCGTAAATGGGCCATGAAGGTCCACGTTTTCATATAGCCCCCATATAACGGTACCTCCCTATATTCGGTATTTTGATGATTTTAGCGACATTATTCACGGGAATTGTTTCAAATTTGGTATTTGAAGTTCAAAATGGATACTACACCCTACGACGGAAAATTATCCGTGCAGGTCCACGTCTTGGTATAGCCCCCATATAACGGTACCTCCCGATATTCGGTATTTTGATGATTTTAGCGACATTATTCACGGGAATTGTTTCAAATTTGGTATTTGAAGTTCAAAATGGATACTACACCCTAAGACAGAAAATTGTCTGTGCAGGTCCACGTCTTCATATAGCCCCCATATAACGGTACCTCCCTATATTCGGTATTTTGATGATTTTAGCGACATTATTCATCGGAATTGTTTTAAAATTGGCATTTGAAGTTCGTTATGGGAACTACAGTCTGTGGCAGAAAATTGTCTGTGCGGGTTCAGGTCTTCGTATAGCCCCCATATAACGGTACCTCCCTATATTCGGTATTTTGATGATTTTAGCGACATTATTCACCGGAATTGTTTTAAAATTGGTATTTGAAGTTCGTTATGGGAACTACAGTCTGTGACAGAAAATTGTCTGTGCGGGTCCAGGTCTTTGCACAGCTCCTTACATACGATATTTTGATGATTTTAGCTACATTATTTACCGTTTATTTCAAGTTTCGAATTTGAATATGGTAGTGGCTTATGACAAACAATGCCTATGTATGTCCACGTCGTATAGACCCCAAAATAACGGCTATATTCGGCATTTTTAAAATTTTAACAGAATTTTTTAAGGATTTTATTTTTTGAAAATTTCCAAATTCGTTGCAAATGGTGGAGGGTATTAAAAGTTCGGCCCGGCCGAACTTACTGCTTTTTAACTGGTTTATTTTATTGAATGAAAGCGTGCCCAAAACTTTAATATACCCTACAGAATATTTTTGCGATAATATTTAGCATTTATTCTGATGCCACGGTCTAATAATTCGAGCGGCCCACACCCACACCATGGCCGGCGCTTGTGTTCTGGTGGCCAACCGAAGGTTCACATTTTCAGCTGACATCTTTGGCAAGTAAACACGATCATTTTGTTTGTTTACAAACTGCAGGACAACGAATGTTTTCTCATCGGAGAAAACCAAATTCGGCAGTTCACAACTTTCGGCCAAGCGAATCAACTCTTTAACTCTTTTGAGTCTATTTTCTTTCTGTTGCGATGTAAGTTCTTGCAATTTTTGGAATTTCAATGGCCGAGCTCATTTTTCAATATTTGCTGAATGAAATATTGCGATATGTTCAGCTCACGAGCCATTTTTCGGCCACTGCGACGAGGGCTTCGATCAAGTCGCTTCTTTACTTTTCGAACCATTTCTCTGCTGATGTTGCTGTTTTCTTCCGCACACTTCCTTGACGTCGGGCTACGCTACCAGTATGACGGTAACGAGCGATGATACGAGACAGAAAAGATTTATTCACAATTAAATGCTGGAGTGCTCTAACAATAGCCACTTATGGTTTTCCAGCCAAATATAATTAAATCACATTATCACGCTGGAATTCCATCCCAAATAATTTTTTTTCTGAAAAATTATCACAATAATGCTTTTGAACGCTTGTAAACAATATAATGAGCTGTCACTGGAAAAATTCAACAGCTGTCGGATATGTAGCTTAGAAATGGCAGCAGTCTGAATTTGATTGCGGGTTTTCCACATATTTTCCTCAGTCAACAGTTTAACTGTATAGAGGACATATTTGCGGTCATTCTGGGGACATTCTGTATATGAAAAAAAAAAAAAAAAACATTTCGAGGTTTTCTAGGCACAGAAGGCCTTCACGATGTCACCATATTGAGAAGACATTCAAAAGTACTAATTAAATTTGAAAAGGACTTTCCAGAGGTCTTCTATATACAATGAACTTTCTTTACATATAACTCCGTATCGAGGTCCGCTTTATACAGAAGATGTTCTGCTTTTCTGTACATATAGAACCTGTTAGTGGTATTTATCCTCAGAAGTTTTTTTCAAATATATGTGCTTAGAAAATCTTCCATAGTTCCCTTCCCTAAGGGCCCTTCCCTAAACTGATAATATTTACATCATATTTTCCAAAAATCTTCTATCCGTAGGAGATCTTCTAATAGAGGGGAAAAATTTGTTTAGTATAGAATTCGCTTTAGCGGTTTTTGCTATAGGGATAATCCTACGGAGGGGTTTACTCAAAATAGCTCTTTAAGGTTATTTATGGACATGGAGTGGTCTTCTTTAGACTACATGTACTTAAGAAGCCTCCTTCAATATTTGACCTTAATGTATTCTGAATGACTTTTACACAAAAAAAAAAAAACTTTCGCGATATCTTCTACAAGTAGAAGTTATTTCTAAAAATAACTTTTCAAATCGGCGACATTAGTTCTTTTTATTTACCCTCTTTTGTTTTCCTAATTTTTAACTCACACAACAAAAATCAGTTCATTGTGTTAGTTTTCCATTTAATGGCAAATACTGTTTAAATTATACTTGAATTTATAATTAGTATCATTTTTTGCACTTAACATTTTGAACCAGAAAAAAATTCACCGTAACTATGAACGACTAGGTGGCGGCAGTAAGTAAGGGTATTTTCAAATGATTAAAACACATTCACACTCACAATTCTAATATTAGAACGAGTAGTAAACAATTATTTAAATGTCGTTTAAATTTGAAGGTGTAATTAATGAAATCGGAAAATTGAATCATTGGAAATAGAAGGTGAATTTAAAAACAGGAAGGAATGGATATATATATATATATATATATATATATATATATATATATATATATATATATATATATATATATATATATATATATATATATATATATATAAATAAATGAATAAAATCCGGTAAAAATTCGGTTATAATCTTAAAAATATCGAATGTAGCCGTTATATTAGGGTCTATACGACGATGTGGACCTTCATAGGCAACTTTGGTCATAAGCTATTACAATATTCAAATGCGAAACTTGAAGAAATATGTGTATAATGTAGCTAAAATCATCAAAGTACCGAATATCGGGAGGTGGCGTTATATGGGGGCTATACGAAGGCGTGGACATGCACAGACAATTTTCTGTCATAGACGGAAGAATCCATTACGAATTTCAAATACCAAATTTGAAACAATTTCAGTCCACAATGTCGCTAAAATCATCGAAGTACCGAATATCGGGAGGTGGCGTTATATGGGGGCTATACGAAGGCGTGGACCTGCACAGACAATATTCTGTCATAGACTGCAGAATCCATTACGTATTTCAAATTCCAACTTTGAAACAATTCCGGTGAATAATATCTCTAAAATCATCAAAATACCGAATATCGGGAGGTGGCATTATATGGGGGCTATACGAGGGCGTGGCCCTGCAAGGACAATTTTCTGTCGTAGGCTGTAGTATTCATGGCGAACTTCAAATACCAAATTTAAAACAATTCCTGTGAGAAATGTTGCTTAAATCACCAAAATACCGAAAATAGGGAGGTACCATTATATGGAGGCTATACCAAAACGTGGACCTACATGGCCCATTTTCAATACCAAAAGTCCTGCAGACATAATATACATTTTAGTAAAATTATTATCAACCTACTTCATTTTGTTTGGAAGCTAGAGTGATTTCCACAGACGGATAGAATCGAATCGATCGTAGGTATATAAAAATCGGATCCGACCTCGGTAAAATTCGTAAGAGTTATTTTTGAGCTGTGTCCAATGTCATTGTTGTGGAGTGCATATTACGGATGTGTGGGACTTAAAACCAAATCGGATGAAACATATATATGAGAGCTATAGCTAAATATATCTGAACCGACATCTGAACTGACATGCTTAAATCGACTCAGACTGTAATTCTATGAAAATTATCAAAAGCAACTATGGGACTATCTTGCTTCCTTCTCCATGTTACAAACAAATGCACACAGATAATAACCACTATGTAGTGCAGGGTATAAATAAAATGGTGTGTGAAATCAGAGTTATTCCGCAAATTTGAAAATATTTAAATATTTTCAATAATTATACGAATTTAACGATTTGTTGTTCGGCAGAGAATGTCACGGGGTTCTAATGTCAAAAAGGGGTCCTAATTGATGTAAAGAGGTTCAAAGAGAACTGATTATCAAAATAAGGAGGATTAAAAAAAACTGTCACTCCACATTCAATACTATTAAAGTTTTTTATTTCATTTTATTTAGTTTTCTGCAATAAAAATTTCTCTTAATATTCTCAAAACGAATTCTCAGCTTAACAATCAATAACTCACACATTACTCTCAGGGACTCTGTGCAACCACTTTATTGTATTATCACCTTAGACAGCAGACTCATAATAATATTTATGTTTTTTTAAAGTTGTTAATATTTTAACGACCATAAATTAAAATCCTCACTTCAGTCTTCATTGTTTTTAGAGCCTTATGAGGTTCTTTATTATTATGCTTTTAAAATAATAAATTGTGAGCTTAGCAGAAATGTGAATAAAAAAAAACAGGGAAGGAGATGATACAGTCAAACCAGGTTATAATGAACATGAGGGAAAAAATATTTTTTTCCTTTTCGACTGTACTCCGACTGTACATTTATAAGTCCATAACATTTATTAATTGCATTAAATATTCTCATAAGTTATTCTTTTTAGCCCTGCCCTCACTGTATCAAATCCCCACATACATGAGTGCATTGTTTAAGATAATTACCAACTGCTTTTCGTTTATTCCATTATTATTCATTGTTTTCTTTCTCTTCTTATTCTTCGTCTTCTTTCAGTTTGGACTCACGCGGCGGAAATGTAAAATTGGCCACCCATTCAGCCATAGCTAGCGATTTGGGTCAACGTCTATTCTTTTCCATTGGCGATAATCCCAAGGATTCACGTCTTCAGATACGCGATGTTATACCAACGGATGGCGGTGTTTATCGCTGTAGAATAGATTATTTCAATTCGCCAACGCGTAACTATAGAATAAATTTAACATTGGTTGGTAAGTTGATAAACAAAGATGACAAACAAAAAAAAAGAGTGAAACAGAACTGCAAAAAATCTAGGATATCTAAAAGCAAACGAATAAAAAAGAGTTATTGTTTTAGTAATAACAACAATAACAACAACAGCAGCAGCAGCAGCACCTGTCCAGCAAAAGATGAGATGATGAATAGTTAAACATATGCTCTGATGGTGCGTGTGGTGCAAATGAAGTTATGGCTTTTTGATATGGGGGACAGTGGGTTTGTTTGGATTTTGGTAAACATTCGGCCCTTGCTTAAAAATATAAGGAAAGGGGAATAAAGGGTGGAATCGTTGAGATCAACTTTTAATTGAAAATTGTACCAATAATACACACAAATATTCTTCAAAAATTACCAGAAGGAGGCAGACGATACTGTCCAATGACATATGTTCATTGACAATGACGGTTTATGAACGTCCGTCCGTCTATCTTTCCATAGATTTTTAAGCAATGTTCAGGTCACATTTATTGTTCGATTGAGATGATATTTTGTAGAGATCATTTTTTGAAACAAGGTTAAAGAAATTTTTAATAATTGGGGCAGATAGATGAATTTTAGTACATACGACCTAAAAGTATGTCAAATTTGATGAAAATCAGCACTCATAAAGCTATATACAGGGTGAGATGAAAAAACTGCAACCAACTTCAAACTGCTGTCATTTCTAAGCCACTCGTCCGACAGCTGTTAAAATTATTCCAGTGACGGCTCATCATATTGTTTGCAAGCGTTCAAAAGCATTTTGGTGAGAATTTCCCAGAAAAAAGTTATTCGTGATGGAATTCAAGTGTGATAGTATGATTTCTTTATATTTGGCTGGAAAACCACAAGTGGCTTTCGTTAGAGCACTCCAGCATTTAAATGTGAGTAAATCTTTTGTGTCTCGTACCATCGCTCGTTACCGTGAAACTGGTAGCGTAGCCCAAGGAAGTGGACGAAAGAAAACAGAAATATCAGCAGAAATTATTCGAAAAGTAAAGTAGTGACTTGATCGAAACCCGCGTCGCACTGGCCGAAAAATGGCTCGTGAGCTGAACATATCGCAATATTCCATTCGGTAAATATTGAAAAATGAGCCATTGAAATTCCAAAAAGTGCAGGAACTTACACAGCAACACGCAACAGAAAGAAAATAGACTCAAATGAACTAAAGAGTTGCTTCGCTTGGCCGAAAGTGGTGAACTGCCGAAATTGGGTTTCTCCAATGAGAAAACATTCGTTGTCCAGAAAACATTCGTTGGCGCACCTTCGGTTGGCCATCAGAACTCAAGCGCCGGTCATGGTGATGGCGTGGGCCGCCATAACGGCCGATGGTCGCTCCCGCTCGAATTAATAGACCGTGGCATCACAATAAATGCCGAATATTATCGCGAAAATACTCTGGAGGTTGTATTGAAGCCTTGGGCACACAAACATTTTGGCCGCAGACCTTGGACATTCCACTGGACTCAGCACCATAGCACTCAGCACGCGCCACCCGAGAGTGGTTACAAAATAGGGTTCCTCGCTTCATATCCAGCGCACAATGGCCACCAAAATCTCCGGATGCCAATCCGTTGGACTATGGTGTCGGGAGTATTTTGGAAAGCCAGGTTGGCACTAAAAAATACCAAAGTGTCGATCACCTCAAGCAAGCGCTTCGACGGGAATGGGCCAAAATACCACAGAGCAACATTCGAGCAGCGTATGACGGTTTCATTGGCCTTTTGAAGGCCATAATTCGTGGCAAAGGTGATCAATTCGAAAATATCTAAACTTGTTCTACAATTTCCGACATTTTGTGCAGTCATTTAATAAAATTAAAAAATAATGTAAAAATTAAGGCGCTTATTTAGATTTTTTCAAATTTAAGTGCTCTAACGATTGCCACTTGTGGTTTTCCAGCCAAATATAAACAAATCACACTTCACTACCATCAAGAATAACCTTTTATTCTGGAAAATTCTCACCACAATGCTTTTGAACGCTTGTAAACAATATCATGAGCTGTCACTGGAATAATTTTAACGGCTGCCGGACGAGTGTCTTAGAAATGACAGCAGTCTGAAGTTGGTTGCAGTTTTTTCATCTCACGCTGTGCACTTACAACTTCAAATACCAAAATTCCGTTCTAAGATATGGCCACAATCTTCAAAATACCTAATGTACAGGATTGCCCATATTCGACGGACCTTTGGGCCCATTCCAATCGACAAGTCTTGTCCGCAGGCAACATTCTTTGTGTCAATTGAATTTTGTACGGGAACAAATGCAAATCAATGCGAATAATCCGTTGTAAAATGGACCGAGCCATGCCCAACTGCTGAGAACGGCGTTTTTGGGATGTTCTTGGGTCCTCTCAACACTGGCTCGTATGGCAGCGATATTCTCGGCCGATCGCCTTGGTCGACTTTTATATGGCCTCTTCGGATTAGAAAGAGCCTTACCAGTCGAACATTTTTCGTATAAACGATTAATGGTGTTCTTAGAAGGCGCACTTCTCACATTTTTTAATGTTTTAAAAGCACGTTGAGTTTTCACAATTGACTTCTTGTAAATTTCAACTATTGCAGAGCACTCGCGTGGCGTGTATTGGTTCATGGTAAAAATCTGCTTGGACTGACGCTTCAAACGCGGTGTGTCATTAAGCGATGTGATATATCTGTCAAAAGTTATGGCGTTGCCAAATGGGTCCTTCGAATATGGGCAACCCTGTAGAAAGATACCTACATATGGTATATGGTATATATAGACTATTTTCTGTCTGCGGGATGTGATGCGAAACTTCAAATACATTTTTTTAAACTATTTCGTAGAAAAATGTGACCGCAATACTCAAAGTCCCTTTCTATGGTGGCTATACGAAAACATGCATTCTGCCTACGTAATTGTAGTATGTATGTCCAAAATCCCCATCTTCTTATATCAACCCCAAAGTTAATTCTAAATGTAAATATTTCAGCTCTATCCGTTAAGACAATACTAAATTATGTTAGATATAAGGCGGATAGAGCTAAATATAGAGCAAAATAGTCGGACTAAAATACATCAAGCCTGGTATTTATACATAAAATCATTGATATTGACATTACAATTTCATATAAAGTTTGCAGAAACAAAATCTGTTCACTCATTCCCAAGAACATCAGTTCGACTTACTTTTAAATAAATTAATTTCAAATTGTAAACTTCATAGACGAAAACAGCCAAACTATAAAATATTTGAATAAAATACTTCTAATTTTCACATTTCAATCGTCATGACTTTATTTTCAACTCACCACCCTTAAATCGCCTATTTTAAAGTAGAATATTTCCCATAACACCTTTGCCTAGAAATCTAGCCGGTATAAAAATTCCCACGTTGGCCGAACACAAAAACCCCTTGTCTGGTGGTTAATGGAAACAAAAATATATTACACCACCCACTGTGATAAAAACTACTTGCGTACGTTGGGAACGCACATACACACCATGCAATATGCATGCCAGTGACACCTTCAAATCATTTATAGGTGTGTGTATGTGTGTGTGTGTGTTTGCTTTTACCCACATTGATATTTACGTTTTTAAAGTAAACATGGCAAAAATTAGAAGAGACACTTTTCACTATCACGTTTCGGGCAAAAGTTGGTCCGTGTCGGTTGGTGTTGCTGGGAAAAAGTTTTTCCCCAACATTCATACGTTTTCCCGGTTGGACAACATTGAGTTTTTACGCTTTTTCCATTATCCGCAACGCGATAAAGTTTGACATGGCACGAGGCATTGCTGTGGCATCACCACACATACCTTGCCAGTACCTTACTCTTGGTGTATGTATGTGTGTGTGTGTGTGCGTGAGTGAGTACTGTTTTGTGGAGTGTTTCTGTCGGAGTTTGGTTCGTGCGATACGTGGATAAGGGAAATGTGATTACGCACATGGTCGAATGAAGAGAGAAAATACCACCACATTCATATCCGTTGAGCCATACCATACCGTTGAGGTGCCATCACCACACACAAACACACATACATACCCGCGTACAAACTTACATCTGCATATGGGATACTTTCAGACCTAATGAATATTCCTGAATGCAGCTCACGTTCTGTCTTCTTCTGAGGCCCGTTGCCACTACCACTGCTGATGCCGCTGATGCTGCTGCTGTTGTTTCGAACAAAATCACGTGGAGAAATTTATGTACAACTTGCGTTCCATGCTTTTAACTTTCATATGACCATAATAATATTTATACGCTTGTTTTTCCTGTCTCCTTTGTTTCATTGTTTGCTTGCTTGTGTCTTCTTTTTTTTATAGTTCCTCCAGAAGAGCCTCGCATATTCGATGCCCAAGGTAATGAAATTGCCCAGGCAGGACCATTTCGTGAGGGTTATGAAATGTTTTTATGCTGTCAAGTCAAAGGAGGTAAGTTGATAATCAAAAAAAAAAAAAAAAAAAACAGACAACCTGAGAAGGTAATATAAAACTAAAAAACTACTTAAAGGACCAAGGAGAGATACACACACACACTATTACACCTAACAGCCATTACATGGACAATATTTAAGAGAATCAGACATACTTTAATAAAAAAAACTTTGCTTGTTGATGTGTCATTATACCCTACACCACAAGGTGGTCAGGGTATTATGTCTTTGTGCATTTGTTTGTAACAGGCAAAAGGAAACGAGACAGACCCATAGTTCTTTTTGATGATCTGCATAGAATCACATTCTGAGTCGATTTATGCATGTCCGTCCGTCCGTCCATATAATTTTGTAAACAAAGTACAGTTCACATTTATTGCCCTATCCAGATGAAATTTTGAACAAATCATTTGTTTGGCCCAAGGACGAACCCTATTGAAATTGGTCAAAATTTAGATATAGCTCCCATATGTATCTTCGTCCGATTTGCTTTTTATTGTGCACCAAACGTGTAATATCAGTCCGAATAGTATGGAATTTTGCACGTACGATCAGATGGGACCTGAAAATAAGTATGCCAAATTTGATCGAAATCGGTTCAGATATAGCTATAGCTCCCATATATATTTTTCATCCGATTTGTTATTTTTGTCCTCCGCAGCCGTATTATGCACTCTGTAACAACAATATTTGGGGAAATATATCAAATACAGCTCAGAAATACATTTGCTAAATTTTATCGAGATCGGTTCAGATTTGGATATAGCTCCCATATATAACTTCGTCCGATTTACCTTTGATTGTGCACCAAACGTCTAATATTTGGCCAAATTGGATGAAATTTGGCACTTACGACCGAATTGAGTCTAGAAGCTAGTATGTAAAATTTGGTGAAGATGGGTTCAGATATAGCTATAGCTCCCATATATGCTGTTCATCCGATTTGTTATATTTGTTACCCACAGCCGTAATATGCACTCCGTAGCAACGATATTCAGGGAAATATATCAAATACAGCTCAGAAATATCTTAGCAAAATTTTATCAAGATCGGTTCCAATTCGGATATATATTTTTAATCAAATTAATTGTGCACCAAATGGACAATACAAGTCTGAATTTAAAAGATACAAATTCTTCGGCATATTTAGTCCTTTGAACTTTAAATTATATTTATATTCATAGCTTGTATGATTGAATTCTCCTACAAAAACTTTTAATTGTTATGCGGAGCTCTACTAAATTAGCAAAGTGGTGTAGGGTATTATAAAGTCGGCCCGACTTTCTTTACTGGTCTTAAGACTTAAGAACACAGCAACACATTGAGCAGGAAAATGTGTCCACATATTTCTTGGAACATCCTTTTTTTGGGAGGATCTTGAATGCTGTGACCATGACCATGACAATAAAAATGCTAAATGATTCATTTTTGTTTTGTTGGTCCCTGCTTTGCCTTCTTGGCGCATCCTTATCATCACCATCACCTTCATCACAAAAGGCCATTAAGAATGCGTAAGTCTTAACAGTGGCAAAGGCCAAGTGTCTTGCATTTCGTTTTGGCATTGTTTAAGCATCATCCACCATTATGTCATAAAGTGACATGCTTTCATTTCTCATAAAAGCCCATCTTGTCTTCTTCGTCTTCATCGTCACCGCCTTTAGCCTCTTTACCAAGACAAAGAGCCGGCCATAACCAGGATCCTTGGGATTCCTAAAGTATGTGCAAATGTTGTTATGCCATAAAGTAAGAATGTATGTGTGTGTATGTTGATACAATCTCATTGGTAGTTGCACCCCGTTCACATGATGGTCGATCCCAGTAACATACATGTATATTCATTATCTCTTATGAGTTGATTGTAGTACAAATGTGTAAGAGTCATTCTTCTTTGATGGGCGGACAGCACTGTGGGCAAAAGTAATTGTTATATAATTGTTATATAAAGGAAGATCTTCTGGAAGTATTGCAATTTTTGAAGGTATTCTTACATACCTTCTGCAAGTATAGCAAATAATAAAGACCATTTTTAGATCTCTTAAAGTAAAGAAAGGATTTTTCAATTATCTTTGATTTAAAAAAAATGTGGATGTAATTTTTGATATGACCTTTCGTTACCTTCATTAAATACAACACTGGACATTTTGTAAGTTAGGAAGACCCTTGAATATTTATTTTCATAATTTTGGGTTTCCTTTAAATGTGTAGTATATATAAAAAAACAGAAAGAAAGTCTTAAAGTCGGGCGGGCCGACTTTATGATACCCTACACCACTTTGCTAATTTAGTACAGCTCCGCATAACAATTAAAAGTTTTTATGGGAGAATTCAATCATACAAGCTATGATTATAATTATAATTTAAAGTTCAAAGGACTAAATATGCCGAAGCATTTGTATCTTTTAAATTCGGATTTGTATTGCCCATTTGGTACACAATTAATTTGAAATCGGTTAATATATATATATGGGAGCTATATCCAAATCGGAACCGATCCCGATAAAATTTGGCAAAGATATTTCTGAGCTGTATTTTATATATTTCCCTGAATATCGTTGTTACGGAGTGCATATTACGGCTGTAGGTAACAAAAACAACAAATCGGATGAACAATATATATGGGAGCTATAGCTATATCTGAACCGATCTTCACCAAATTTGGCATACTACCTTCCAGACTAAATTCGGTCGTATGTGCCAAATTCCATCCCATTAGACGTTTGGTGCACAATAAAAGGTAAATCGGACGAAGTTATATATCAGGCCTAATTTAGTTGTATGTGCAAAATTCCATACTATTCGGGCTGATATTACACGTTTGATGCACAATAAAAGGCAAATCGGACGAAGATATATATGGGAGCTATATCTAAATTTTTACCGATTATCTCCAATTTCAATAGGGTTCGTCCTTGGGCCAAACAAATGTTGTTTGCAAAATTCCATCTCAATCGGATAATAAATGCGACCTGCATTTTGTTCACAAGAATACATGGACAGACGGACGGACTGACATGCATAAATCAACTCAGAAAGAGATTCTATGCAGATCATCAAAAGGAACTATGGGTCTATCTCGATTCCTTTTGCCTGTTACAAACAAATGCACAAAGACATAATACCCTGACCACCTTGTGGTGTAGGGTATAAAAAGGCCATAAAATCAACGAATGTAGTAAGGTACCCTTATATGCGGGCTACGCGAAGACATGAACCTGCTCACGCAATTTTCTATCACAGACTGTAGTACTCATTAACAAGTTCAAATACAGGGTTGACCATATTCGACGGACCCATGACCCATTCCAATCGACGAGGCTTGTCCGCAGCCAACATTCTTTGCGCCAATTGAATTTTATACGGGAACAAATGCAAATCATTGCGAATAATCCGTTGTAAAGTGGACCGAGCCATGCCCAACTGCTGAGAACGGCGTTTTTGGGATGTTCTTGGGGACCTCTCAACACTGGCTCGTACGGCAGCGATATTCTCGGCCGATCGCCTTGGTCGACTTTTATATGGCCTCTTTGGCCTCTTAGAAGGCGCACTTCTCACATTTTTTAATGTTTTAAAAGCACGTTGAGTTTTCACAATTGACTCCTTCTGTTGAATGTAAATTTCAACTATTTCGCGTGGCGTGTGTTGGTTCATGGTAAAAATCTGCTTGGACTGACGCTTCAAACGTGGTATGTCATTAAGCGATGTGACATCTCTGTCAAAAGTTGTGGCGTTGCCAGATGGGTCCGTCGAATATGGGCAACCCTGTACGAGATTTGAAACAATTCCAATTTTACGACACGATAAAAGTAATGAAAATTGTGACCCTTTGTGGATGTGGTACCAGAAGGGGTTCGCAGATGTATATCATCTTCATAAAAATTGGTTAGCAAAAATGTTTGTGTGTGTGTGAAATTTGAAGACAGTTGGATGCTTATTTCGCTTTCTTTGAGCATTTTCTTTTTAAAAACTTTGAGTCCTACCTGGGGGGAGGTACCAGAAGAAATGGCCCGATCTCTACCATCTTTATAAAAGATCTTGTGTTGATAGAAATTCTGAGATGTCGGATGTTAATTTCGTGTTTTATGAGCTTCATGGATATTCAAAATTTTGACACTTTGTGGGGAGGTACCAGAAGGAGTGGACCGATATATTCCATCTTCACACTAGGCCTTGGGTTAATCTGATATGTTACTTTTTTTGTTTAGTTTGGAAAGTTCAAATTTAGTTATTCAAAAAATATTCTAAGAAATCCACAATCCATGATGATTAAATTTTTCTTTACAATTGCAATCTAATAATCCCTCAAGAAATATTCTTGAAAATCACCACTCGTATCTCCATCTAACAATGCAAGGCATTAAATCTTTCCCCCAATGTTTCTAATTTCATTTACACACACATTTTTCACTCCGTCTAGGTTTTATTCAATTTATTTAAAAAAGAGATTTTTTTTGCTTACTCGAGCTATTAATTGCAACTCCTCCAAAAAAAAAAAATAAAAACATGAATAGTTCGCCCACCCACAACCTAGCAGTGAATTCCAGAACATCTGTTTTAATAATTCGCTTAGTTGTTTATGAATCTAACAAATAACCCTTTTTTCTCATTCACATCTGTCCAATAGTGATGAGTAGGTGGCGGTGGGGAGGAGCGGCTACATCATTGCCAACTCATCCTCACATACTCCTGTGATCTGTTAAACGTACTGGTACACACCCCCATACATATGCACGTTTATACAGTGTAATACATATGTATTCATTTGTAATTTTTGGCTACATACCCATCAATCTTGTTTATACAACACTTGTAATGTGTGATTGTGTGTGTGTATGTGTGCGGATATGTGGAGCATAGATTTCCAGATAACTTTGCTCGCAGGATTGAATTGCACACTAACACAAACACATGTACATGGAATTGCACGCATTGGAACGCATACATTCATAGCTAAACCTCATATTTCCTACTTTCATGCATATCCTAGTGGAGGACATGCTGCTGATGATGATGATGATAAACATAAATTTGGGATGCGAAATATTCTGACAGTTTCTCTTTTGTTTTCGTTGATCTTTCAATGTGTGTGTGTGTGAGTGTGTACTGGTGGGGATTTTCTTTCATAGTAATTGTGAGGAGTTTTTTCAATCCCTCTTGCTGCTTTTGTTGCTGCTTCCTTCCCCGCTTTTTGATTTGTCTGTAAATTAACCGGCCACAATCAGTTACTGTTGCCGGTTGGAGTTTCTTTTGAATTTGGTGTTTGATGTTACAAACCGTTACTTGTTGACTGTAAAATTTCCGTGGATATTCACCAAAGAATTGAATCATCATTAACTGGCATCCGCTGGTCGTGGTGTTGGTTTTCTTATTGTTGCCGTTTCTGTTTTAAGCGTTTTGTAGTTGAGGGGGAGATTAATTTCCGAAGGAAATAGAGTTAATTATTCCGCTGTTGGACATTGATTGAACGGAAGCCTTTGTATTCAGTTAGGCGTTTTGAAAGGCAATGTTGATACATAAATATCAACATTTAAGTAAGATTACATACGACTCAACATCAGGGAGTGGGGAATTTCCAGTTAGAATGAAGGTATTAAGTTAGTAGAACTCAAATCTTACAAAAACAAGTAAGAATGAATGAATGAATGTAGGATCACTATTTCGAATAGCCTCCATATAAAGATAAATTCCGAATTTATGCTATTTTTTACGAAATGTTTATAGCCTCCAGGCATAGTATGGAGGGTATACAGGGTTGCCCATATTCGACGAACCCATCTGACAACGCCATAACTTTTAACAGAGATGTCACATCGCTTAATGACATACCGCGTTTGAAGCGTCAGTCCAAGCAAATTTTTACCATGAACCAATACACGCCACGCGAGCGCTCTGAAATAGTTGAAATTTACATTCAACAGAAGAAGTCAATTGTGAAAACTCAACGTGTTTTTAAAACATTAAAAAATGTGAGAAGTGCGCTTTCTAAGAACACCATTAAGCGTTTATACGAAAAAATTTCGACTGGTAAGGGTCTTTCTAATCCGAAGAGGCCATATAAAAGTCGACCAAGGCGATCGGCCGAGAATATCGCTGTCGTACGAGCCAGTGGTAAGAGGTCCCCAAGAACATCCCAAAAACGCCGATCTCAGCAGTTGGGCATGGCTCGGCCCACTTTACAACGGATTATTCGCATTGATTTGCATTTGTTCCCGTACAAAAGTCAATTGACGCAAAGAATGTTGCCTGCGGACAAGCCTCGTCGATTGGAATGGGCCCAAAGAGTCATTGAAATGGCCGAAGATTACGAGCAATTTTGGAACAAAATTATCATGTCCGATGAAGCCCATTTCACATTGAATGGGACCGTAAATAAGCAAAATTGCCATTTTTACGCCACTGAAAATCCTCAGGAGATTCAAGAAGTGCCTCTTCATGACGAAAAAGTCACAGTTTGGTGCGGCGTTAGTGCGAAAACGGTCATTGGGCCGTTTTTCTTCCAAAATGAAAATGGCCATGCTGTTACCAACAATCAGGAGCGTTATCGCGACATGATGACCAATTTTGTGATGTCAATTATTCGTCGAAAGCGTATGAGGCAGTTCTGGTTTCAACAAGACGGCGCTGCACCGTACACAAGTCGCATAACAAACAATTTTCTGAAGAATTTGTTTATGTAAACAAATCTACTGGGAACAAATTAAATGGTTAACATTGCCAACAACCAAATTTTATTTTTTTCTTTGATTTAAAAAATCATGGATCCGTCGAATATGGGCAACCCTGTATAGCGGTACCTCCCTATATTCGGTATTTTCATGATTTTAAACAAATTTTTCAATGAAATTCTCTGAAAATAAACACAAGCAGTTCCCTTTATGTACTTTATACCCTCTGGAAGTTCTTTACAAGAAGTAAAATTCGTAACAAGAATTGGTAATGGGTACTATTGCCTATGACAAAAAATTGCTTATGCAGACCCACATCTTCGTATAGGCTTCATATCCACCTAAGTTGTTTCAAATTTCCTATTTAGAGTTCGTAATGGGAATTACAGTCTTTGACAGAAAATTGCCTATGCCGGTCAGGCTTTCATACAGGCCCCATATAGCAGTGCCTCCCTATATTCGGTATTTTCATGATTTTAACTATATTATTCACCGGATTTTTTTCAAGTTGCGTATTTGAATATTGTAATGACTTATGAAAAAATGTGTCTATGCCGGTCCACGTCTTCCTATAGACCCCAATATAGCGGCTATATTCGGTATTTTTAAGATTTTAACAGAATTTTTGGCAAGTGTAATTTTTTGAAAATTTCCAAATTCGTTCCAAATGGTGGAGGGTATTAAAAGTTCGGCCCGGCTGAACTTACTGCCTTTTTGTCAGTAAATGGGGCAATTTATACCCTACACCACAGCGGTAAGGGTATCCGTCCGTGAACAAAATGCAGGTGACATATATTATCCGATGAAGGTGAAGTTTTCCAAATGCTATTTGTTTGGCCCAAGGACGAACCCTACAGAAATTTGTGAGAATCGGTTCAAATTTAGATATAGCTCTCATATATATCTTCACCGATTCAGGGTAAATTGTACACCAAATGGCCAATATCAATCCGAATGACCTAAATTTTGGCACATACGCACAGTCTAGAAGCAAGGGCATTAAATTTGATAAAAATCGGTTCAAATATAGCTATAGCTCCCATATATGTGTTTCATGCGATTGGGTGTTTAAGTCCCTCACATTCGTAATGTCACTCCACAAAAATGATGTTTTGGTACCATTTTTCAGATACAGCCCCGAAATACCTCTGCCAATTTTTATCAAGATCTGTTTAGATTTGGATATAGCTTCCATACATACCTTTATCCGATTTCATGTCTATTGTGCACCACATGGTTAATATCAGCCCAAATGGAGAAATTCCGACTGAATTCATCCCAGAAATAACTACTTCAAATTTGGTTAAAATCGGTTGAGATATAGCTATAGCTCCAATGCATATGTTTTATCCGATTTGGGGTTTAAGTCCCTTAAATGACATCAGATACAGCTCTAAAATATTTTTATGTACATTCGATATACATCTTCATCCGATTTTATAGTTATCGCTTACCTCATACGTAATATTAGCCCAAATTGATTAGATTTTTTCATATTCGACTAAATTTTACGATCTGATGAAACTCGGTCCGGTATATCTCCAATAAATATTTTTTAATATAATTCTTATTGAAGTCATATCATGCACTATACAGCAATGCTATTTGGTACTAGAGGTCCAAAGCTTCCGTCAAATTTGTTGAAAATCGATTCCGAGTTGGATATTTGGTTCCCAAATTGTGAGGGTATCATATAGTCGGCCCCGTCCGACTTTTGACCTTTCCTTACTGGTTTAATATAGTCCAAGTTCCGATGAGCGCTACACATTAAGGAATCTTCTGATATTAGCTATTATAGAAATCTTGACAAAAATCTCTAATCAAGCTTATCATTTTGAAATACGGACGAAAAATTTGAATATTCGCCAACATGGTTGGCAGTTGAATAAGTGTGCAACAGATTTAAAGCTGAAATTAAAATAAAAACAAAACACAAGTTCTATTAAAATGTAAATATTTCATCAACATTCTTCCCTTTTCTCCCACACACAGGTCGCCCACCACCAAAAGTCACCTGGTGGATGGGAGACACCGAATTAATTGGTACCAGCCATACATCCACTGAAGAAGGAGCCACCGTCATTGTCAATCAATTGCTGATTGGCACAACGCCCAGAGATTACTATGGAGCGAAAATTCAATGTCGTGCCCAAGGCACCAAGCTGATAGAGCCGGTGACAAAGGAAGTTGCCTTGCAAGTCTATTGTAAGTCATATCAATATTACCACCAAGGAAGAAAAAAAAAACCAAAGAAAACTGCTAACCTTTGATAAATTTCATTCTTTTGCTCTGTCGCCTTTCAGTGAAACCTTTAAAAGTGAAAATTGTAACACCAAATGATTTGCTGACAGCAGGACATCCAGTGCCAATTAGATGTGAGACAACGGGCTCTCATCCGCCAGCCAAAATCACATGGCTATTGGATGGTGAGCCAATTCGCAATCCCGAGGTGACAGTGCGGGAGGTTAGTACCGAAACCCACACATATGTTTTGTTTGTTTGTTTGGAGCACACCAAGAATATCCTTTCGAATATCTTATTTTATGTTTTCTTTCTCTTTTTTCTTCGAATTTTTCTATAGGATTCAAATAAAACAACCAGCATACTGACACTAAAGGTAACCTCGGAGAATGATAACGCTGAGCTAACATGTCGTGCAACGAATCTACGTTTTTCTGGTGGCGCCATCGAAGATAAACGTATCATACGTGTGGCATGTAAGTTGGCCAAGTTTCTGTTGGATATTTCTTTTGAGTTTTTCTGTTATTTCACTTGTTAAGTTCTTGCCTGTCAGCAAATGTTAAGTTTGTAGTTTTCCTGACACCAACTATATCGATAACCACCCACCTAACAACAACAGCTGGAATATTGTCAATAATATTATTGTTGTTATCTTGATTTTGGGGAAGATTGATCACAATGTTACCATTTCTCCAAAAAATTGATTTTTCAAGAATTTTAGTCATATTAGAGAAGACCTCAAGCACTTCGACAAGGAGAACTGCATACTTTCTGGGAAAAGGCCTCCAGTTCTTCTAGAAGAAAGACTCTAGCTCTTCCATATGGAAGATTTTAAACACTTTTAGAAAAAATGCCTCAAGTTCATCTGGGAGAAAACTTCTACGATTTTTTGGCAAAATAACTTCTTCTCTTCTGGAAAAAGTACTTCAGATCTACTCTGAGAAGACCAATAGCTCCTCTCTGGGAAGACCAACAACTGCTCTCTGAGAAGACCAATAGCTCTTCTCTGAGAAGACCAATAGCTCTTCCCGGAGAAGACCAACAGTTCTTCTCTGAGAAGACCAACAGCTCTTCTCTGAGAAGACCAACAGCTCTTCTCTGAGAAGACCAACAGCTCTTCTCTGAGAAGACCAACAGCTCTTCTCTGAGAAGACCAACAGCACTTCTCTGAGAAGACCAACAGCACTTCTCTGAGAAGACCAACAGCACTTCTCTGAGAAGACCAACAGCACTTCTCTGAGAAGACCAACAGTACTTCTCTGAGAAGACCAACAGCTCTTCTCTGAAAAGACCAACAGCTCTTCTCTGAAAAGACCAACTGCCCTTTTCTGAGAAGACCAACAGCACTTCTCTGAGAACACCGACAACTCTTCTCCGAGAAGACCGACAACTCTTCTCCGAGAAGACCGACAGCTCTTCTCCGAGAAGACCGACAGCTCTTCTCCGAGAAGACCGACAGCTCTTCTCCGAGAAGACCGACAGCTCTTCTCCGAGAAGACCGACAGCTCTTCTCCGAGAAGACCGACAGCTCTTCTCCGAGAAGACCGACAGCTCTTCTCCGAGAAGACCAACAGCTCTTCTCTGAGAGGACCAACAGCTCTTCTCTGAGAGGACCAACAGCTCTTCTCTGAGAAGACCAACAGCTCTTCTCTGAGAAGACCAAAAGCTCTTCTCTGAGAAGACCAACAGCTCTTCTCTGAGAAGACCAACAGCTCTTCTCTGAGAAGACCAACAGCTCTTCTCTGAGAAGATCATCATCTCTTCTCTGAGAAGACCAACATCTCTTCTCTGAGAAGACCAACAGCTCTTCTCTGAGAAGACCAACATCTCTTCTCTGAGAAGACCAACATCTCTTGTCTTCTATGAAAAGACCTTCATGTCTTCTTCTACGAGAAGATCAAAGAAAAGACCTCCGTGTCATTTTCAAAGTAAGACATCTTCTTCAAACGAAGACATTCAGGTCTTCATTTACGAGAAGAGCTTCATGTTTTCTACAAAAAGGAAAGATAAAGAAGGTTTCTATGAGGTCGAATATTTATACAGTGATTTTACGACAACCGACCCGTTTTTTCATTCCTTCCTCTGTTTTGGTCAAAACCACCCACATTGCCATTTCTGATAACAAATCCTCCACCACCAAGGGAAATAATTGTGCAGCCAAGAAGATATATTAAAGAGGATTTGGAAGTAATACATCTAACAAAGCCATCAATATATTCATTCGTGTTCATTACAATAAAATTGGCATCCAATTGAATGGCTACCATGCCATAACCTTCTCCATTTCATGGTTTCCATGAATTGGCTGGCTAGCTGGCTGATTGCTTTGATTTCAATGACACATTCCACTCCATTCAGTTCTCCCATTTAATAATCATTGGCCATAGATAAAACGCTACACTTTAGTAATTACTGGGTAATTTATGGAAAATACACAATTTCCTATTTGATTTTATTGGCCAGGAATACGAATAGAGTAGCGAAATGTGCGTGTTTAAGCTCTTTTATGAGTACTTCAATGTAGTTGGCCTTTGTCTTGGTCGATTTGTCGATGGCCATAGACCTCTGTCAATATATATATATAAATAGTATATCGAAAGACAATGGCATTTATTTGTTGGTTCTAGTCTATTAAATATGGTATTAGAATAATGGTGAATGTGGTCGTCGTCGTCATCATCATGGTCGTACACATATTCCACAATTACCATAGTACGAAGAAGGCTAGTTTGTGAAGGAATGGGTGGAGAGGGGCTAAACTAGGTCCTTGTCTTTTTGGAGAAACCAACCCTAAAAAGTTCTTCAAGCAAACAATGTGGTCTGCGTTGTAGTTCATTTAGCATAGGGTAATAGTTGGCATATCTCTTACTTTCATCCATTGTTGGAATACATTCCCTAGCCCAACCTTACTTTGTAAAGTACTTCGATTTGTAAGATACCAACTAGACCCTAGACCCGAAAGCAAAGCATTTTAATAATTCACCAAACGCGTCAGCAGTTTTCTCTGTTGGCATTCTTAAAGCACACGCACACACACAAACTTAGGCAAAAAGGAACAAGCCACATAATGGACCATTGTAGCCATTTGTGGAGCATTCTTCTATGGTGGTGTACATGCTGCTCCAAGAAGAAAATTTCCTAGTTACTGCAAATGCCTGGATAGGAGATAGGAGTCGGATGAAACTGGAAAGCACACACAAATTCGTGCGTTTTTCGTTTCGTCGTATTCTTTTCGAAATGAACGTGTAGTGTAAGTAAAAGCAAGCATGAAATGAAATGACTGAATGCTAACACAACCGTAACTAATGGCTTAGAATAGCTCGAATAACCACTCAGTATTCAGTCAAATACTGAGAAAAGCAATCTAATTGTAGTGATGCAAACCGAACTAAATTTCTTTTATGGACGGAGGTATTTTGTTTTATTCAACCCCCCACCCACCAAAAAAAAAAAAAAAAAACAACTTAATAGGTGTGGGAGATATAGGGTTGCCATATTCGACGGACCCATGGGCCCATTCCAATCGACGAGGCTTGTCCGCAGGCAACATTCTTTGTGTCAATTGAATTTTGTACGGGAACAAATGCAAATCAATGCGAATAATCCGTTGTAAAGTGGACCGAGCCATGCCCAACTGCTGAGAGCGGCTTTTTTGGGATGTTCTTGGGGACCTCTCAACACTGGCTCGCACGGCGGCGATATTCTCGGCCGATCGCCTTGGTCGACTTTTATATGGCCTCTTCGGATTAGAAAGAGCCTTACCAGTCGAAAATTTTTCGTATAAACGCTTAATGGTGTTCTTAGAAGGCGCACTTCTCACATTTTTTAATGTTTTAAAAGCACGTTGAGTTTTCACAATTGACTGAATTGAATTGAATGTAAATTTCAACTATTTCAGAGCGCTCGCGTGGCGTGTATTGCTTCATGGTAAAAATCTTCTTGGACTGACGCTTCAAACGCGGTATGTCATTAAGCGATGTGACATCTCTGTCAAAGTTATGGCGTTGCCAGATGGGTCCGTCGAATATGGGCAACCCTGTACTGTGGGGAAGATGAAAATAAGTGTGCCCGCAAATTTTTAAAAAACCCAAAATTTGAAGTCATGTAAAGCTCCTCGAACACCGACAGATCTTCCAATATTAAAAGAGGTGTACAATAAGCATAGATTTGTTCGAATTGGTCACCTTTGACACGATTTATGGCCTTCAAGCGGCCAACGAAACTGTCACTCTCTGCCCGAATATTACTCTGCGGTATTTTGGCCCATTTCTGGCGAAGCGCTTGCTTGAGGCGATGGACACTTTGGTATTTTTTAGTGCCAACCTTGCTTTCCAAAATACTTCAGACACAAAAGTCCAACGGATCGGTATCCGGAGATTTTGGTGGCCATTGTGCGTTGGAAATGAAGCGAGGAACCTAACTTTGTAACCATTGCGTGCTGTCTCCTGTTGAAATGTTTTCGTGCCCAAGGCTTTTATATTTTTGCGATAATATTCGGCATTTATTCTGATGCCACAGTTGCCAATTGGAATACGAGGGGAGAGCGACCATTGGCTGTTTTGGCGGCCCAATTCTGCTTTCCAAAATTTTCCAGACACAATAGTTCAACGGATTGTTATCCGGAGATTTTGGTAGCCATTGTGCGCTGAAAATGAAGCGAGGAACCTCATTTTGTAACCATTCTTGGGTGGCGATGGAAAGCCCAAGGTCGGCGCCCAAAATATTTACGTGCCCAAGGTTTTAATACACTCTCCACAATATTTGTGCGATAATATTCGGCATTTATTCTAATGCCACGGTCGATTAATACGAGCGAAGAGCGACCATCGGCTGTTATGGCGGCCCACAACATCACCATGGCCGGCGCTTGAGTTCTGGTGGCCAACACAAGGTGCACATTTTCAGCTGACCTCTTTGGCAAGTAAACACGATATTTTTGTGTGTTTACAAACTGCTGGACAACGAATGTTTTCTCATCGAAGAAAACCAAATTCGGCAGTTCACCACTTTTAGCCAAGCGAAGCTACACCTTAGCTCTTTTCAGTCTTTTTTATTCTGTTGGGTGTAAGGTCTTGCAGTTTTTGAAATTTCAATGGCTTTACCCCGATCCCAATATTTGCCGAATGGAATATTGCGATATATTTAGCTCACGAGCCATTTTTCGGCCACTGCGATGCTGGTTTCGATTAAGCCGCTTCTTTACATTTCGAACCATTTCTGCTGATGTTGCTGTTTTCTTCCGTCCACTCCCTTGACGTCGGCCTACGCTTCCAGTATTACGGTAACGAGCGATGTTACGAGACACAAAAGATTTATTCACATTTAAATGCTGGAGTGCTCTAACGATAGCCACTTGTGATTTTCCAGCCAAATATAAAGAAATTAAACTATCACGCTTGAATTCCATCACGGATAACTTTTTTTCTGGAAAATTCTCACCAAAATGCGTTTGTATGCTTGTAAACAATATAATGAGCTGTCACTGGAATAATTTTAACAGGTGTCGGACGAGTGGCTTAGAAATGACAGCAGTTTAAAGATGATTGCTGTTTTTTCATCTCACCCAGTAGAGGCTCTGTAAAAGGTCTGATTTCTCCATAGGAGCGATGTTACATATCTCCATAGAAGATCGGTACCAGGTTTTCTAGTCACAGAAGAGCTTCACTGGCTCTTCTGTCCACTTCTTCTTCTTCTCTCCGTAGAAGAGATTGATTGGCTCTTGTGTCCTTAAAAGAGATTCACTGACTCTTCAGTCCGTGAAAGAGCTTCACTGGCATCTCTCCGTAGGAATCAGCACTGGCTCTTCTGTCCGTAGGGATCTGTCCTGACTCTTCTGTCCGCAGGGAGCTGCACTTCTTCCTCTGTCCACAGAAGAGGGTAATAACTCTACTGTCTACAGAAGTGCTGCAATGATTCTTCTCCTACAAGCTATCTGTTGTTTAGAAGAACTCTTCTGTCTATGCGGGATCTTCTCTCTATATACGAACTACACAAGCTTCTCTATATGGAGAAGAGCTGTGAGAATTAGTTTAGAGAGCTATATTCTGTCTATAGGATCTCAATGTTATTACTACAGGGTTGCCCATATTCGAAGGAACCATCTGGCAACGCCATAACTTTTGACAGAGATGTCACATCGCTTAATGACATACCGCGTTTGAAGCGTCAGTCCAAGCAGAATTTTACCATGAACCAATACACGCCACGCGAGCGCTCTGAAATAGTTGAAATTTACATTCAACAGAAGAAGTCAATTGTGAAAACTCAACGTGCTTTTAAAACATTAAAAAATGTGAGAAGTGCGCCTTCTAAGAGCACCATTAGGTGTTTATACGAAAAAATTTCGACTGGTAAGGCTCTTTCTAATCCGAAGAGGCCATATAAAAGTCAACTAAGGCGATCGGCCGAGAATATCGCTGCCGTACGAGCCAGTGTTGAGAGGTCCCCAAGAACATCCCAAAAACGCCGTTCTCAGCAGTTGGGCATGGCTCGGTCGACTTTACAACGGATTATTCGCATTGATTTGCATTTGTTCTCGTACAAAATTCAACTGACGCAAAGAATGTTGTCTGCGGACAAGTCGATTGGAATGAGCCCAATGGGCCCAAAGGTCCGTCGAATATGGGCAACCCTGTAGAAGACCTCTTCTGTCTATACGGGATCTTCTCTCTATGTACGAACTGCACAAGCTTCTCTATACGGAGAAGAGCTGTGAGAATTAGTTTAGAGAGCTTTATTCTGTCTATAGGATCTCAATGTTGTTACTATTTGGTCAATTTACATGTTCTTCTCTCGGCGAAAATCTTATAAAAAGTTTGCGCAAACTCTTGTCTTTATCAGTCGAAGATCTTTGAAAGATATTTCTTCGATTGGCGTCTGTAAAAGATTTGCAAGGCGTATTTTGCCCATGTAAGATCTATGGAGATCCACTGTTACATTTTACGTACTCTTAAATTTGTTGCCGCTAGTTTTGCCTAAATAGCTTTACTTATACTCTAGCTTGTATGTAGGTAAACCTACACATTGGCCTTAAGAAAAGAAGCAGCACCTTCTCTTAAAGCCATTTCAATTTATTATTAAGCTTTTTATGATTCAATTTGTGAACGTTCATTAAATTCTGTCCGACTTTCAATTGTCCAATTTGTTTCATACCACCCCCCCCCCACACACACACACCACAACCCACCGCACGTACTGACGTCAATAACATGATGCCTACTTCGCTTATTTACTCTCGTTTCAGATCCTCCAACGGTTTCGGTACATTTAGCCAATGAAGATCCAAGTCGCGTAGTAACCAGAGCTGAAGGACAAAATGTTACATTCAAATGTCGTGCCGATGCCAGGCCACCCGTAACATCGTATTCATGGTTTAAAAACGTAAGTAGAGAGTACATTTTCTTTGCGCTTTAATGGCTTGAATTTCTTTAAGGGGAATTGTTTTAATGACCAGGGTATTGAACAAGGAAGGGGAGAGCGGTCCATGTCTCCCCTGTCGTTCCTTGAAGATTTTCCCCTAACAACACAAGGGTCACAGTTGCCGAGGAATAAAACCAAAATAAAAAAAAGAAGAAAAAAAACTTATTCAATATTGGTTAATTTGCAATGCAGTCACATTTAATAAGGATGTTTTATTTTAGTTTTGTTCTCTTTCTTTTTCCCCATTCTTTATTGAACATTGTCCAGAAGCTGTATTATGATGGTGGTGGTGGTGCTTTGAAAAGGCATTTTAATGCCCCAAAGGCTGACATTTATCTTGTTAAGTCGCAATATGTTGCCACCACATTATCGCCGTTTGAAAAGTTCATATTTCTCTTCCTGCCATAATCTCCCTCTTTCTCTGGGGCTCCGGCTCACTTGCCATTATGTTTTATGTTTGAAGTGTCCTGCATTTGTTTCTTTAGCTGGGCAGGGAAGAGGGGGCCATCATCCAATCAGTTTTCTTTTACTTTGGCTTCGTGTTATATGAGATTTTTAGTTGACGCAATCTGTTTTAAACGGATTTAATGCGCCACACAGGTCAGGTCATGCCTTGGCTAGGCCAAAACACCAACAACGCCAATGCCATCGGTTCCAAAGCAAAGGAAACTCCTATTCTGCCACTGTCATGCCATACCACTCTGTTGCTTATGGCCAAAAAGACGCAACTCACTCTTATTTACAAGCATTTGTTGCTTAAAGCCCATGGAGAAGAGTTCGCTTAAGCAATGGGGGCTATGGCTGGGCAGGCAATATGATTTCTTTGCCAGCTGTGTTCTATATCATCACCGTTATCCTTGACTTGATTTTTTTTTTATTATCAATTCTATTGCCATTATGCTCACTCACTCACTAGCTGCTACTGCCTATGCCTAGTTATTAGCCCCAGGGACTAAGACGCGGTCAGCGTCAGACAAATAATTCTGGCCAGCTTGTTTCCTCTGCCATATAAAGAGAGTGAGAGAGGTGGGGTGAGCGAATTTGCACACAGAGGGTGTATGGCATGGTATCATATATGGAATCTGTTACACACTGTCTGTAGGACAGATTATTTGAAAAGTTATTTGGCACTTAGCCTAGTTTTCCTCTGCCCTTCTCACCCTCTTTCACGGTATTTTTTATAACAAGTAGAATTATATGACAGATTAGGACAATTGCCAATGAAGTTCTGTCGCCACTTTAAAGGTGCCCATTAAAAGGAGGAACAAAAACAAAAAAAAAATCCGGGTTCGTAATGGTGTCCAAAAATCGTTATGATATTGGCGCTGATAATGAAGATAAACTGTGTGCCGTAATACACGTTCTAATTACTTTGTTTATTGAGTCCTTGAAAGGAAATGTGACTGCTGCCAGTATTGCAAGTTGAGGGAGAAGGGGGAAATTTTATTCGAAGTCATTATATGTGTAGCTATTGGGTTTTCTATCAGTAAGATGGTGAGGTCTTTTGGAGGAGGATATATGTATTTTTTATTAAGTCTAGTATAATAACGACTACTATAAGACGATAGATAAGCACTTCTTAAGAAGGTTTTTAAAAACTTACATAGGATGTCCCATAAGGAATTCTATTGGAGAATGTATGAGGTTCCTTTTTAATATTCTGGTCCCTAAAATGAGAGGTTTAATGAGGATTCCGAAAGAACGATAAATCTTGTAGTTAAAATTTTAGCCTTCGATCTCAATTCGTTCGAAAGATAGCGTGATTACAACAAACAGACGGACAGACAGACAGACGGACATGGCTAAATCGACTTAGAATTTTACGCTGATCAAGAGAGGGTCTGACATGAGTATTTCGAGAAATTACAAACGGAATGACAAAGTTAATATGGTGGAGGGTATAAAAACTTCAACAAAGTCAAAAGTCATAATTTTTACATTTTTTTTAATCTTATTGAATAAAAGAAAAAAAATGTCGGAAATAGCATCACATTTCGAAATAAGTTAGATTTGTTCGAATTGGTTCGAATTGAAACCGTCACACGCTGCCTGAATGTTGCTCTGCGGTATTTTGGCCCATTCCCGGCGAATTGCTAGCTTAAGGTGGTCGACACTTTGGTATTTTTAGTGCCATCCTTCCTTTCCAAAATACTCCAGGCGCAATAGTCCAACGGATTGGTATACGGAAATTTTGGTGGGCATTGTGCGCTAGAAAAGAAACGAGGAACCTCATTTTCTAACCATTCTTGGGATGCGCGTGCTGAGTGCGATGGTGCTGAGTCCTGTTGAAATGCCCAAGGTCTGCGGCCAAAATGTTTGCGTGTCCAAGCCTTTAATACACCCTTCAGACTATTTTCGCGATAATATTCGGCATTTATTCTGATGCCACGGTGATTAATACGAGCGGAGAGGGACCATCGGCTGTTATGGCGGCCCACACCATCACCATTACCGGCGCTTGAGTTCTGGTGGGCAACCGAAGGTGCATATGTTCAGCTGACCTCTTTGGCAAGTGAACACGATCATATTGTTTGTTTACAAACTGCTGGACAACGAATGACCAAACGGAGAAACCAAATTCTTTAGCTCTTTTAAGTCTAAACACGAATTTCAACGGCTTTAACCCCGAGCTCTTTTTTCAATGTTTGCCGAATGGAATATTGATATATATTGAGCTCATGAGCCATGTTTCGGCCACTGCTACGCGGGTTTCGATCAAGTCGCTTTTTTTGCTTTTCGAAACATTTCTGCTAATATTGCTGTTTTCTTCCATCCGCTTCCTTGACGTCGGGCTGCGCTACCAGTATCGCCGTAACGAGCGATGGTACGAGACACAAAAGATTTATTCACATCTAAATGCTGGAGTGCTCTTAGGATAGCCACCTGTGGTTTTCCAGCCAGCTGTTAGATCTTTAACGGGTCGGCCTATGGAGTTCTTAAAAGTAGTCATTTGTATTCTTATGGGGTATTCTTCCTATATTTTCTTGTCCTGGCAAGTTTATGAAGTTGCTTAAAGGAGTGCTTATGGGTTCTAGAAGAAATTCTATAAGGTCTTTTGATGAATTTAGCTGAAAAATCTGAATAATGTAGTTTTTTTTTTCAAAGCTTCACATAACAAAAGTTGCCTATAGCCTAACGGCTATATTCGGTATTTTTAAGATTTTAACCGAATTTTTAACGGATTTTATTTTTTGAAAATTTCCCAAATTGTTTGTTTACTTGTTAATCTCTCAGGCAGGCTTTTCTAATGCAGATCTACGAGGTTTTTCATAATAAGAACGCATATGTGTGTTTTAAAGTGACAAAAATTGCCTATACAGGTCCACGTCGTCGTATAGGCCCCCCTATATAACGACTATATTTTAGTTGATATTTTACGGAATTATTTTTTAATTTCCAGAATTATTCCAAATGGTGGAGGGCATTCAAATTTCGGCACGTCGAACTTACTGCTTCTTTACTTGTATATTTCTCAGACAGGCTTTTCTAATGCAGATCTATGAGATTTTTTCATAATAAGAACTCATAGGTGTGTATTGGAGGGCATTTTCGGACGACCTTTGACGGGGTCCTTTATGTGAAGGCCATTGATTTATTTTATAGGAAGATGTACTGGGGAGCAATGAGTCTTTCTTAGAAGGCACTTTGAGGTCTTGTATAAGATGTCATATGAGTTATTTTACATGAAGTTTCTGGAGGTATTTATTTGCAAGACCATAAGATCATATTTATACAGACTTAACAGGACTGTAAAAGAAAGGTCTGTAAAATATTCAATGGGAAGTTTTATGAGGTCCCTGTTGGGATATCATTCCAGATATTCCTTGGGAAGCGCTACGTAGTCATGTTCTGGTAATCTATGGGGTCATTTCTGAAAACAAAAAACTGCAGGTCTTTTAAAACATTTTTTATAGCAAACACTTTGATTTCTTTGATAGGAAGTCCAAAGAGCTTTTTCTCTATACGTTCCTAAAAGTTTCAATGGTAAAACCTTTGAGATCGTCTGTATGAAACCCCATAATAACGTTCATGGGAAGGTCTCTAGCACTGACATTTACTCGTATGTCTCCAATTAACATAAACGAAATTGTTATTGCCAATTGTTTAAACTTTTAACGAAGAAAGTGCACCATTATCTTTGATAAATTATAAACTTAACTTAAAAGGATACTGTATATAATTCATTGTTTAATTCACTTACGACCACCAAAGATGGTTGTGCTGTATTTGTTGTTCATTTTGTTAGCTGTGCGTACAGAACTTTGTTTGGTCCATGAAAACTGTGGCAAATGAAATTGTTGCTTCGTACGAAGAAATCGTATTGGTAATGCAGTACAGTGCAGTGCAGTCGAAATGCATTTACTAACCAAACATGTAACCAATCTTGCCTCAATGATGCCGTTGTGCCTGGAATAAACTAACCACCACCAACGTCGCTTTTGCCGTCATTGTTGTTTGTATGATTGTATTCGTTTGCTTTTTCCTTTCGTTTTAAAGCAAAAACTATAAGTTAAAATGTTGCAGATCGTAAGATGGGGCAACGGTAGGTGCCTCGCATTTTAATGGAGAAAATGGCATCAAGTCGATGGAAAAAGCCACCACCCACTGCTTTCAACTCACACACTGTGTTGTGCATTTAATCCGGTAAAGAATAATAAGCCATACATTCTAGCTATTTGTATGGATGTATGTACACCCGCAGTCGCACACACACACATGCACATCTATACGAATGTGTATTTATGTATTTTTATAACTGCAACATTGGCTTTTGCTGTTATTGCCTAGTATTGTTTGTTTGTTTGTTGGTATGAGTGAGTGAACGAGTGAGAGGATGTGCTGGGTGCTTTATTTTCTTTTACTCCAGCATTGCTGTTTGGTTGGCAAAACCTTGGAGAGGAGACGAGGACAAGAAATAACGGAAGAAAGAGCTCACATATCCGTTTTTAATCTCATTCGTT